TTTTTTTTAATATAGAAACTTAGTATTAGATTAGAGTAGTAAACATTGTATAGAGTATATATGCAACCTATTTATGGAAAGCGAAACTTAATAACGGCTAGATACCGAAGAGGATGTTGGTCAAGAACGGTGAAACCGATCGTAGTTGTTATTTTTGTCGTTGTACTAGTACCGGACACCGGTTTTACATTTTTTTCCTATTGCATCAAATTATTTACTTACTTTATTTACGTATACCTACTTTTTGTGTTATTTTTTTTTGTACAAACAAGCTTTACAAATTAGAAGAAAAAATAATGAATTTGATATTTTGTCGTTGATACTTTTCATAATATCTTTTACCTTTTATTTTGATTATTACATCGATAAAATTTATTATCACTTTCCAAGAATAAATTAAATGAAACTAAATTAATTGGTGGTTCGCGCAGATACTTTGCGAATATTTTTCTTTTTTTCCTTTTAATATTTGTATAGGATATTATTTTTTTTTTCAATATAAATAAAAATTATTATCCACTCTGTTGGAATATATTTTTCACAAAATATTAATACACGAAAAATTTGTGTATATTTGAATGTAAAATATTTCTATGAAAATTGTTTCTGACGTGATCATTAGTATTTTATTTTTAGTAAAAGATTATTATAATTTTTATTTATTTATTTATTACATATATATATATATAATATTGTCTATTTTAAAAAACATGAATAATTGTTTTAATAAGAGAATATACAAAATAGATAAATGATAAATATATTAATCGTTATCATTATTATTATTTTTGTTTGTTCGCGTTTTATGTAATATTAATCATTTATTTTTCATTTTTTGACTTTATTTATTATTCAAAAGAACATATCGTGAACTGGTATCTAGAAATGGCTAGTTTATTGATCTAAAAGATTCTCTGAGAGAAAGGTAGTACCAACCACTCTCTATCGAACAACTTTTTCTTTCGTTTCATTCTACCATGAAGTGTATCGACTCAACTGATATCGTTAACACGTACTAATTTATTTTGTAAAAGTAATTTCACTCTTATCCTATTCATTTAAATCGAATAATCATCTCAATATTCCTCATTGTTTCGTTCAATTTTTTCAAAAATAACGAAGAATCAAACGTTACTTATTATTTTTCCTAATAATTCTTATTAAAATCCAATACAATACAATACAAATTCAACCAATCAACAATATATTTTCACAACTGTACAACTTTGCTGTTTCTTTGAAAATTTTTGCTAAATATTGTTTATACTAAAAGTAAATAAATTTTAATGAAACTTATAT